GTTCGATCCCTGGGTCAGGAAGATACCCTGGTGAAGGAAACAGCAACCTACTCCAGTATTCTTGCCTGGAGAATCCCATGGACAGAGGAGCCTGGTGGGCTACGGTCCATGGGGTCGCAGAGTCAGACACGACTGAGCGACTTCACTTTCACTTTTCAGTATCCTTACTATAAATTAGATTTCTCTGAATAAATGAATGAATTAAAGCCGATTAGTAAGTGTACAAAAAAGAACTCATTCTTGTCTGATTCACAGTGTTTTTCACTCCATTATAGATATCTCTCCACAATTTTGACTAGTCATTTTTTGGGGAGTATGTTTCTACCTGTAATTTAAGGCACCCTGAGTTTTCTAAGGTATAGGTCAGTATTAAGTAGTCCTTAGAACTGGTGATACAAAAAATCATCTAAATTCTTTATTCAAAGAAGAAGTCCACAGAACAAACACATATTTATGTATATAAAGTGTGTATACTAAGCTCACGATGCTTACTTTTCTCTAACAGTTCAAATGCATATTCTATGTGAACTTTTAATTTCTATTGATGTGTGGTTGTGGCAAATGATCTTTCTGCTTTGAAGATGAAAAAGAAAAGGCATGGGAGAAACCAGAATGCTATAGACTGAATGTTTGCCATGTCCAAAATGTATGTATTTAGACCTAATCCCCAGTGTGATGATATTTGGGTGGGGCTGTAGGGAGATGATTAGGTCACAAGGGTGGGGCCCTCATGAATGAGACTGGTGCCTTTGTAAGAGACCCAGAAAGCTCCTTAGCCCTTTCCACTCTATAAGATTGCTATGGACCAGGAAGCAGGCTCTCATCAGATACTGAATCTGCCAGGGCCTTGATTTTGGCCTTTTCAGCCTCCAGAACTTGGAGAAATAAATTTCTGTTGGGGCATAGCCTTGGAGTACTGTGATATTGAATGGTTTGCCTTGGAAACGAACAGAGATCATTCTATCCTTTTTGAGATTGCAAATGCCCAAGCCTATGCCCCAACCAGTAACGCTGAAGAGGCTGAAGTTGAACAATTCTATGAAGACCTACAAGACCTTTTAGAACTAACACCCAAAAAAGATGTCCTTTTCATTATAGGGGACTGAAATGCAAAAGTAGGAAGTCAAGATATATCTGGAGTAACAGGCAAATTGGGCCTTGGAGTACAGAATGAAGCAGGGCAAAGGCTAATAGAGTTTTGCCAAGAGAACGCACTGGTCATAGCAAACACCCTCTTGCAACAACACAAGAGAAGACTCTACACATGGATATCACCAGATGGTCAACACTGAAATCAGACTGATTATATTCCTTGCAGCCAAAGATGGAGAAGCTCTATACAGTCAGCAAAAACAAGACCGGGAGCTGATTGTGGCTCAGATCATGAACTTCTTATTGCCAAATTCAGACTTAAACTGAAGAAAGTAGGGAAAACCACTAGACCATTCAGGTATGACCTAAATAAAATCCCTTATGACTATACAGTGGAAGTGAGAAATAGATTTAAGGGACTAGATCTGATAGACAGACAGCCTGATGAACTACGGACGGAGGTTCGTGACATTGCACAGGAGACAGGGATCAAGACCATCTCCATGGAAAAGAAATGCAAAAAGGCAAAATGGTTGTCTGAGGAGGCCTTACAAATAGCTGTGAAATGAAGAGAAGCGAAAAGCAAAGGAGAAAAGGAAAGATATTCCCATTTGAATTCAGAGTTCCAAACAATAGCCAGGAGAGATAAGAAAGCCTTCCTCAGCGATCAACTCAAAGAAATAGAGGAAAACAACAGAATGGGAAAGACTAGAGATGTCTTCAAGACAATTAAAAATACCAAGGGAACATTTCATGCAAAAATGGGCTCAATAAAGGACAGAAATGGTATGGATCTAACAGAAGCAGAAGATATTAAGAAGAGGTGGCAAGAATACACAGAAGAAATGTACAAAAAAGATCTTCACGACCCAGATAATCACAATGGTGTGATCACTCCCCTAGAGCCAGACATCCTGGAATGTGAAGTCAAGTGGGCCTTAGGAAGCATCACTATGAACAAAGCTAGTGGATGTGACGGAATTCCAGTTGAGCTATTTCAAATCCTGAAAGATGATGCTGTGAAAGTGCTGCACTCAATATGCCAGCAAATTTGGAAAACTCAGCAGTGGCCACAGGACTAGAAAAGGTCAGTTTTCATTCCAATCCCTAAGAAAGGCAATCCCAAAGAATGCTCAAACTACTGCACAATTGCATTCATCTCACACGCTAGTAAGGTAATGCTCAAAATTCTCCAAGCCAGGCTTCAGCAGTACATGCACTGTGAACTTCCAGATGTTCAAGCTGGTTTTAGAAAAGGCAGAGGAACCAGAGATCAAATTGCCAACATCTGCTGGATCAACGAAAAAGCAAGAGAGTTCCAGAAAAACATCTATTTCTGCTTTATTGACTACGCCAAAGCCTTCGACTGTGTGGATCACAATAAACTGTGGAAAAGTCTGAAGGACATGTGAATACCAGACCACCTGACCTGCCTCTTGAGAAACCTGTATGCTGGTCAGGAAGCAACAGTTAGAACTGGACATGGAACAACAGTCTGGTTCCAAATAGGAAAAGGAGTACATCAAGGCTGTATATTGTCACCCTGCTCATTTAACTTCTATGCAGAGTACATCATGAGAAATGCTGGGCTGGAAGAAGCACAAGCTGGAATCAAGATTGCTGGGAGAAATAACAATAACCTCAGATATGCAGATGACACCACCCTTATGGCAGAAAGTGAAGAGGAACTAAAAAGCCTCTTGATGAAAGTGAAAGAGGAGAGTGAAAAAGTTGGCTTAAAGCTTAATATTCAGAAAACTAAGATCATGGCATCTGGTCCCATCACCTCATGGGAAATAGATGGGGAGACAGTGGAAACAGTGTCAGACTTTATTTTTTGGGGCTCCAAAATCACTGCAGATGGTGACTGCAGCCATGAAATTAAAAGACACTTACTCCTTGGAAGGAAAGTTATGACCAACCTAGATAGCATATTAAAAAGCAGAGACATTACTTTGCCAACAAAGGTCCGTCTGGTCAAGGCTATGGTTTTTCCAGCGGTCATGTATGGATGTGAGAGTTGGACTGTGAAGAAAGCTGAGCACCGAAAAATTCATGCTTTTGAACTATGGTGTTGGAGAAGACTCTTGAGAGTCTCTTGGATTGCAAGGAGATCCAACCAGTCCATCCTGAAGGAGATCAGTCTTGGGTGTTCATTGGAAGCACTGATGCTGAAGCTGAAACTCCAATACTTTGGCCACCTCATGCGAAGAGTTGACTCATTGGAAAAGACCAATGAGTCAAGGGATGCTTGGAGGGATTGGGGGCAAGAGGAGAAGGGGACGACAGAGGATGAGATGGCTGGATGGCATCACCAACTCGATGGGCATGAGTTTGAGTAAACTACGGGAGTTTGTAATGGACAAGGAGGCCTGGTGTCCTGTGATTCATGGGGTCGCAAAGAGTCGGACACGACTGAGCAACTGAACTGAACTGAACTGAGTCTGTTATAGAACCCAAGTGAACTAAGACTCCAGAGTCCACAGTGTGTACTTCTGTGCAAAACTCTGGGCCCAAGATAAAACCTAAGTGTTGTTTCAAAGGATATTTAGAGAAGTTGATAGATCCCAGTGCTAGATAGGAGTAGAGTTACTCATTATATTAATTTTTCAGCATAATACTATTAGATTTAGACTAAAAAACACTACAGTTTCAGAAGTGTAAAGAGGATTAACAATTAGTCATATAGATTCTCACTTAAAATATATAGAGATCCAAGTCCTAGCTATCCTTAATATCACTGTTTATAACATTTTTATAAAACAGTACAGTGCTCTACAATATATGCACATTTAATTTTTTTTCTGATCTTTTATTCCATGGATACCAAGGTTTTCTAAGCCCTAGTCCCTGCAAGTAAAAAACAAAAAGCAATTCTTTCCTCTCCCAGGTTAGTCCTTTGTTTATCCTTCAAAGTCAGACCTGGAATTGCATTAGTCACACACTTCAAAACCAGTTTGACTTAAGTGTTTAGTTTTCAATGTAGACTAACAATCACTTGACCTTTTTTTTTTAATCTGACCTCTTTGTAAAATTAATGAATGCTGTAGACCCTCTATGGACAAATGTGCATGCAGACATACACATTAGATATGAAATATAATTTCAAGGGATCCATAGACTTCCTGAACCCCATCCAGGGGACTCCTTACAGAGAGGCAAAGTAATTACATCACATGTGGTGAAGTCCATTGTCAAGATGTACTGATAAAAGTGAAATGAGGCTCATGTAAATAGGGAATGGTACATTTTTTCTAAAATTTTTACTTTGCTGTAGTTACAATTTTTTGGCTAGTTTTGCCTTACTTAACAAGGGTTACAAATTAATATAATTTATTCTCTTACTAATCTGTATTTATGGAAAGGTAGTTTTATTCCAGGTTCTCATTCAAATGCACCATTGTTTCAGTTTATAGGTGAGTACTCTCAGCCAGGAAAGAGTAAGACAATAAAGACATGATCTAGACATTTCCTTTTGTGAGATAATACATGTTCTCATTGTTGACAGAGTTGAGTTAGGGTTTCCTGTAACTTACAAAAAAGACTGAATCAGAGATTTCTGGGTAGTAAGATTAGAGTTTTGGACCTTTTGGAATATATATATCCTCTTGCCTCTAGTTGTGGGCCTTGGGGGAGTCCTGTGGGCACTGACTTCTCCAAGGGCCCCAGCATGAGGAGGGTGTATATATATATGTGTATATATATATATACACATATATATATATATATATTTTAAAGAAAGCTATGAGTTAATATTCATAATTAAGTTAATTCTAAGTATGCCACCTGTTATTCTTGACTAGATTTTTTTTGGTCTTAGGATGTGGAATGAAATAATTATATGTGGAGTGTTCCCCGCGGAATAGCATAGAGTTTGGAGAATACAGTGGACTAAGCCCCAGGCTTACTTGCTTGGATCTGCTCCTTTGAAGTAGGCATTGACCGTTTCTGTAAATGCTGCTGCAACAGGGAGGGTGTCCTGGGCTCCCATGGTTAGGGGGCTGGGTCCCCTGGAAGAACCTGTATAAGATGAAAAATCTTCACTTAATATGGATTGGAGACAGCCTAGTATATGTGGAACTAAAACCTCATTATAGGATTACAGGATGAAATCTAATTACTGAAACAAAGTAACGTGCTAAGAACCATAACTGTATATTCAACATAGAGCTCAAGTATTTAAAAGGAAATATTTGGCTGGTTTACAGACAAACACACTTGAAACTAATTCAGTTGGGTATTCTACCATAGAAAAAATCCAAGCATAAGAATAAAGTCATGGGATTTTTCAATGCTTACATAAATCATAAGGCAGTATTTGCATGACAGTTTATACAGCAGGTAGTTAGTAAAGAAAATTATTAGCTGCCTATTTGAGCATTCACACCATACTATTGCCAACAGACTCAAAAGTGTTGTCATTACTTCATTTTAAAGAGGCAGACAGCCATGGGGCACCATGTTATACATTGTCTTTTTCTGAGTTGTTTCCATTTCCAATTACCTCAGATCAAGGAGACTCAAGTGTGCTTATCCCCAAACATGTGCAACCCAAATAACCACACACACATCAATGCATCAATTCACATTATTAAAAATAAAAGTAGTGCGCACATATACTAAGCATCTACTATATACCAAACACTGCACTGAATATCTTATAAGAGTTACTGTATTCAAGCCCCACATCAGCCCAGTGGGAGACAGGCATTATATTTCCATTTTACAGAAAGAAAACTGAAGCTCAAAGAGCTAAGTGATCTGCCCTAATAACATACTTAAGAGGCAAAACTAAAATTCAAATGTAGATTTGCCCTCCTATAAAGCTCATGTTTCCCCCCATATTGTTTATAATATTCTTTGTTGTTTAGTTGTTAAGTCATGTCCTACTCTTCTGTGACCTCGTGGACTGTAGTCTGCCAGACTCCTCTGTCCATGGGATATCCCATGCAAGAATACTGGAGTGGGTTGCCATTTCCTTCTCCAGGGGATCTCCCCGACCCCAGCATAGATCCCTTGTCTCCTGCTTAGCAGGGGAATACTTTACTACTAGTCACCTGGGAAATTGTTTATAATATATAATTTGTCTAAATGAAACATTTTTATATGGTTTTGGTACACTTTGAGGTTTCCAAAAGGACTAAGTTTAGGATTGTTGCCTTTATTAACAATCTCTGGACACAGTACTGAAGAGAAGAATTTTAATGAACAAAGTATTTAATTATGTCACACATTCATTGCTTCTCCTTCCTATCAAACAAAACACATTTAATTTTCCCCACCTCATCACACACTACATGTTATGCTTTTTTATCTTTTACCTTCAGTAACTGTCATCCTCTTCTCTGATTATGTGAAGATCTACCCTTTGTATATTTCCCTCCTCAATAAAGTTTTCTTTGATAATTCTAGTTCATTCTAGTGTCTGCTTTCTATCTTCCCTTGACTTTCAATGTTTTGGATGTGGCCATTGATTCTCAACAAACATTTGCTTATCTACTATGTGTCAGGCATTGTGGTAGGTGCTGGGGATTCAAAGATAATTAAACACAATCCTTGTTCTCAAGAATTTTTGTTGTTTGTGAGCCATGCAGTCTGTGGCATTTTGTTATAGAATTCAGAATGGACTGAGACATGCAGCCTGGCCCAGATCTGTTCTTCTTGACACACCTCCTCTCTATCCTTCCAACAACCCTATACTCTAGCTACATTCACTTCTGGGCACCACAGTTCTTACTGTGGGTTTAATCAACAATGCCAGAAAAGGAGAAATAGCAAAATTTGACAAAGAACCCTTTTACCTTAAAGGATCCACAATTTACAATTCTAATTTCTTCACATCCCTATACATTGCAATTAATTATGCCATCTTCTTTTTTACTTTTTTCATTTACTACATAATTTTCCTTATTGCTATTTGGCCTACATAGCATTTCCATAAGTATATATTATTCTTAAAAAAAACATTCTCCAAATGTTCGGCCATTTCTAGGTAGAAATTATTCTAAATCCATCTTTATATAAATTGTTCTTTTTCTTTCAATTATTTTCTTAAGATGTAGCTTTATTACTACAAAGTGGGACAACCAAACCATAAGGCAGATCAATTTTTGATTACTAAGAATGCCAGATTATTTTACATAAAGATTATACTCAATGAAAATGCTATCAATAATAAATGAATGCTTCTGTTTCCCTGCAGTACCTTAGAAAGTCTTTGTTAATTTGACTATTGCAAAACTGGGCTAAAACTAGGAGAATGTCTAAGATGCTGAAAAATTCAAACCTCATGGTCTAAGATGACCAAGATGGGACTCAAAACTATTTTTGAATATCTGAAATAATATTAACAGACAGTGACTCTAGGAGCCAGAGTTCATGGCCATGGATCCGCAAGTTAATAGCTTTGTGACCTTGGGCAAGTCAATTATCTTTAGGTTTCTCAACCATAAAATGAAGGCAATAGATTACATAATCTTTGTGTAGTAGGATTCTATAATTTTGTTTTAGGAATCTAAGGAGTTTTAAACAGAAAGAGCAATTTTCTCACACAGAAATAAACTGATTTGAAAAGAGTATCCCTTCATGGTGTTTTGAAAGAATGTGCCAAATATTTATGAAGCCTTTACTTTTTGTAAAGTATTTTTACATATTTTTTTTTTACACATTTGGAGACATAGATATGTAAACTTCCAGAAAATAAGATATAAGCATTTCTAAAAACTAGTAACAGTAAGATATGCAAGTAAGGGCTTAAGACAATAGTTCAAGTGACAGCACTGTGAAGGTTTTTCATTGCCCAATGAGCAGAGCAGGAAATGTTGCTCCTTGATTTAAAGGCTGCTAGGGCTCTGGAATCTTATAGACGTGGGTGTGAATCCCAGCTCCTCCACTTACAATCTATATGACAAGAAATAAGCTATTTAATCTGACTGTGACCCAGTTTCCTCATCTTTAATATAAAATAGATAATAATATCTATCTTGAAAGCTTGTCAGCCAGCTCAGTTGCTCAGTGGTGTCCGACTCTTTGAGACCCCATGGACTGCAGCACACCAGGCTTCCCTGTCCATCACCAACTCCCAGAGTTTGCTCAAACTCCTGTCCATTGAATTGGTGATGCCATCCAACCATCTCATCCTCTGTTGTTCCCTTCTCCTCCTGCCTTCAATCTTTTCCAGCATCAGGGTCTTTTCCAAAGAGCTGGCTCTTCACATCAGGTGGCCAAAGTATTGGAGTTTCAGCTTTAGCATGAGTCCTTCCAATGAATATTCAGGGTTGATTTCCTTTAGGATTGACTGGTTTGATCTTGCAGTCCAAGGGACTCTCAACAATCTTCTCCAACACCACAGTTCAAAAGCATCTTGTGGTGGACATTAAATGGGATAAAATTTGTGAAATTTTTTAAATGGTACTGCTGACTTAAAAAACGCACACACACACAAAATTGAGAATTATGAGTTAAGTTTTATTTGGGGGCAAAATGAGGACATTTCTCAAAACTATCAGAGCATTTCAGATAGCTCTGAGGAACTGCTCCAAAGAAGTAGGGGAAAGGTCAGTATATATGTGGTTTTCATGAAAGGCGAATATATGCAGTCAAACTCATATTTTTTTTGCAGAAGGTTTCTGCTAGTCTGGGGGAGCAGATGTTACCATGAAGGATTTTAGTGCTTTTCTAGATATGAGGAGATACAAGAATTGGTTCATAAAATAAAAGAACTGGTTCATAAAATATCCATCTGAAGACCTGTTCTGCCAGTTTTTCCCAGAGCACAGAGTGCCTCAGCTCTCCACCCTGACCTCCTTTCAGGGGGTGTTGAAAGTCAGCAGTTGCAGCAGCACATAATTTACTCCTTGTAGAGGTAGATGGCAAGTGCCTATTTGTAGTTGACAGTATGTACTTGAAAAACATCTTGTTTTTGTTGCTGTTATTTTGTCAGGGTGAGCTTTACTAACATTGTTGAATTAGAGTTGACTCTGAATTTGAGTAGCTTTTGAGGCAGAGAATGAAAGGAGATGATATCACAAATGGTATTCTTCACTGAGCAAGGAGATAGACCAAAATTTTCAAATTCCTTCCAACTCTAAATTTCTCTTATGATAAGAACAGTGAATTCTATCATGCATGTTTAATTTTTTGTGTATTACATGGGTGGCTATCATCTATTCAATTTACTTGATATAATGCTTGGACTAATAGGAGATGAAAGCTGGTTGAATGCATATTTATCTCTTGATTCATTTGAATGTAGTTCCTGCACAAGGAGGCATTGTGCTAGATACTGAGAGATTCACAGAAATGTCTGAGATGTACCTACCTCTCCCTTTATGGAGCTTACAATATAGAAGAGGACTGTAATATTAGACGTGAATAAAAAATAAAGATTCCATGAAGTTAGATAATAGTTCAGTATTATAACAATTATATTATTATTAATGATTATTTTTAAAGAAGTCAAGACAGACATAGCAATTATTATGTTTGTTCTACAACAAAATAAAATATCAAACATTAACATGCTTTTTGTTCTCTATACATTGAGGGGATAAACAGAGTCAAACATCTGAATTTGACTGAATTTGAACCCTTATTGCCCCTTAAATATTTTTTTAAAAAGATTTCATCTGATGCAGTAATAAAGTGAAAAGTTATTTGTATACAGACAATAAACTGTCATATACCAGGCTATGCAATGGGAGGTAGAAGAAACTGCCAGATTCCTTGAAATCTAAACCATAGTAATTTGAAAGATGAGACAAGTCGGTTATGACTGAATTATGCATATGAAAGAATATATAACTTTGGTGTTAAAAATGTATCTGTCGACAACTTTTGGCTGACTTTTTGAAAAGTTGTTTACCTTTTAGCAATTTATAAATAAACTTGGGAATATGAATGCAGATAAAAGCCTGGAATTTTTGATGTGCCCCCAAATGAAACTATTAACAACAAAGAGAATAAAGAGGTCAAGATAATGAACATGTGGTATAAAAAGCATCAAGTCACTATGGTATTAA